TGTCACCTCCTTCCCCATCCCATGCACTCACAGCCCCCTATTCCTATCCCACAGGGGGGACCTGGGACAAGTAGAATTACAGTCACAAATGCTGTCCTTTTTACAGTCTCTTTTTCTACTGTTGACTCATTCACCCCACCTCTCCAAGGCCCCTGGTAATAAAAATCTCAGATCCTCCAGATAAAGGGCCACAAGCTCAAAGCAATCTGGACTGTGATATCCTGTACCAAAGAACACTAGTCTTGTATATTATTCCATTTCTTCCTCAGAACATTCCTGTGAGGTAGATGATCATCGCTGCCATTAACATTGTCATCCTCCCACCTTGACAACCAGGGCAATCTCACATCCTTCCACCTTGATAACCAGGTTACTTGACAATATGGGTAACCTGAAACTCAGGCAGCTGAAGTGACTTAAACCCAAGATCCTACAGCAGCAGAACTTGGACACAGTCTTTTTACGCTTTTGTCCTTCTACTTGCCCTCTTTTCCTCCCATCTTCCTCCTCCATCAAATCTCTTGGGCACCTCCTAAAGCAGGATTCTGTGCTGGATACACTATGCCTACAGCCTTCATTCATTCCTTCATTTAAGTATTTGGGTTTTTCAACTAAATAAACAGGGGAAACAAGATCTTCACACACACAAAAGGAACGCGACAAGGTCTAAACATAAAATGGCACAAGAATCAGAGAAAGGCATCTTGTGCTATCAAGGGGGACTTCCCAGAGGAGGTGAGGCTTAAGGTGAGCCTTGAGAAAGGGCTGGTCCCTAACCCATGGGCCAGAAAGCAGGGGTCTTCCCAGAAGGGGGAAGTGAACCAGGCAGAGGCAATGGGCTGCTTGATGAGAACAGAGGGTCTGAGTTGGGGAAAGAGGGGAGATCAGGTGAAAGAAGGGAAGAAGCAAGGCTGAGTCAGCACTTGGCAGGGAGGAAGACTGAGCCGGTGTGTAGCCCTCCTCTCCCACTGAAGGATCCTTTGCAAGTTCCCATGGCTTGTCTGCATTGCCATGTCTGGCACTGGCAGGGTGTTTTCAAAGAAGCAAGCATCCTTTCCACAGAATCTAGTCTCACTTACACAGGATGGCCAAAATGAGCTAGTTAAAGGTTTCTTTTACAGATTTCTTTAAGTCCCCTTGAGGGAGGTGGTACAGACAAGGGCATAGATCAAACTGGTTTTATTCATCTAAAGGCACAGAAAGCAGTCAGGTCAGGCAGTTCACACAGCAGAGAGGTGGGCAGCACTCAGCAGCGAGGGGAGCCGCCAGACCTTAAGGGAATCTCAGTGGGGACAGGGCTGCCACTGATGACTCCAGAGAGCGCAGCTGACCTTTGGGAAACACACCCATCTCTCCTCAGGTCACTCTTATAGGCATTAGCCTCCACACAGCTTGGCTGAGAGGAGCAGGGGCCACTTCACCTGGGCCAGGTTCTCCCCCTTGATTGCAGAGTTCTCCAATATACGAAATAGAAATCCAATTCGTAAATCCAAAAATCACACGTGCTAAAGTCAGAGTCTTCACTTAATTTAACATAGTGCTTGGTACTTAATAGGTACTTAGTAAATATTCTTAAGTAAATGAGTAAATCAGTTAATTCTATTAAGATGAAATTTCTGTTCTATTGTGATGCAGAACTTCCTAAAAAATCAATTGGAAATGAACTTATACTCACCAAACATACACATAAAACACACACACACACACACACACACACACACACACACACAAACACAGATGGGGCCTTTGTACTGTTTCCCTTTTTTATAGTGCTTAGTATTAAATCAGATTAAGAATTCTGAGCCATTTCACATCTTCCATGGAATAGGAAGAATAAAAACGAGCTGAGAAGTGGCTGGGAGAAGTCACCCAACCCTTCAGTCTCAGACTTAGGGTTGCTAGATAAAATAGAGGATGACCAGTTAAGAGTACCCCAAATACTGCATGGGACATTCTTATACTAAAGAAGTGTTCGTTGTTTACCTGAAATTCACATTTAACTGGGGATCCTGTATTTTTATTTGCTAAATCTAGCAACCTTACTTGGACACTTCATCTTGTAATACCAACCTTACAGGGGCTTCCTGGGCAGGTGGAACAAAATCCTGTGCCTGGAACTCTAATGACAGAAATCAGATGTCTGGGGCTAGAGGTGGAGGGAGGGGACCAAGGGCAAGGGGACAAGGGAACATTATGCGTGTGGAAACTGTTCTCTGTCTTGATTATGGTGGTGGTAATTGTATACATTTACCAAAATTCATCACACAATATATAAAATTGGGGAATTTTATTATGTTATGCCTAACAGGATGGTAGTTTAGGATGCAATTGTTTTTCTGATGCAATTTATTTTGTCAACTTTGATAAGGAACCACAAAATGTAATGGGTTAGAGCAGGTTCTAGAGATCAAATCCTGGCTCCAACACTTACTAGCAGTATGACCTTGGGCAAGTTGTACCTCAGTTTTCTCATCTGTTAAAAGGGGCTAATTATAATCCTAACTCATAAGACTGTTGTAAAACTTAAACACGATATAACATGGAAGGCTCTTGGTACCAACCTTAGCACAGAGTAACTGATGTTAGTTATTGTTTTAAATTAATAATAATACCAATAGCCACCTCCTAAGATCTAAATAGTTTCTTTAAAATGAAGTTGTTCCTACAGAAAAGGGAAGCAATGACACGTGTAAGGTAGTTAGAAACTGGATAAAGAAATCCCCACTTTAGAATTTTGAAAAACCTGGGACAGATATGAAGAGTATTCATCAATATCTCTTGTATATACTTCGCAGAGGGCACTGGGCTGTGGCAATTCCATATGTAAAAGTCCACTGCAGGGACTCCCCTGTAAAGAATCTGCCTTCCGATGCGGGGGATGAGCGTTCGATCCTTGGTTGGGGAACTAAGATCCCACATGCCGCAGGGCAACTAAGCCCGCACGCCACAATACTGAGCTCGCGTGCCTCAACTAGAGAGCCTGCACGCTGCAAACTACAGAGTCCACGTGCTCTGGAGCCTGCGTGCCACAACTAGAGAGAGAAAACCCACACACCACAACTAGAGAGAAGCCTGCACGCTCCAACGAAGATCCCATGTGCCGCAACTAAGACCTGACACAGCCAAAAAAATAAAGAAAAACCAAAAACAAGTCCACTGAAGTGAATAACAGATGGTTTCTTGTTCATGGTTTCCAAAATAGAAGGTCAAAAGAACTGGCTTTATATCTCCACTTCTGGACCTTCTAAGATTGGATAGGTCCGAATTTTCCTGAAAACAAGCACTTTCCTGTGTCTGTTGGTTAATAAGGACCAGATTCAGGAATTCTCCAAGCATCTGAGTCAGTAAATGTTTACTGAGCACGTAAACTATGTGCCACGCTCTGTGAGAAACTGGACCCTAATCTTCATAAGTGCCCTGTGAAGTTGATATCCATAACCAATTACCTGATTATTTCTGAAAGGGAAATTGAAGATCAGAGAAGAGGTGAAGTGTCCAGCCAGGAAGTGGTCAGTCAATCCCACGCCCTCCCTGCTCCTCCCGGCCGTCTCCTGCTTTTCCCCTGTGATAGTCACCTCCCTGATCACACCTCACACACAGGAAGACAGATGAGGGCGGGATATGACCCTCAAATTCCTCCTCCAAATGCCTAAACGACGTGTACTTTCTCTTCCTTCGAGATCCGCATCTGCCTTCCTCTGCAGTCCTCCCAACTCCCCAGACATGTTTCGGTCACAAGTAGCTCGTCATCCTGCAGAAGTCTAAACCCATGCCCTTTTTATTCAGCCATTGACAATCATTCCTGAGGACCTACCAGGTCACAGGCACTGTGTTAGGTGCTACCGATTCAAAGACAAGCACAAAAATTAACTAACAACCACATTACACATGTTTTTGTTGACTCCAAAGAAACTTAGTCATACCTTGAAAATGGACTTCTCCAATGCACTATGATGTATGAGCAAGGAGGCTCACTGCAATGATGTTTTTAATAAGAAAAATGGAACTGAGCTGTCTATCAACAGAAAATGGTCTTAAAAGAAACATGATGTACCTACTCACTAGAACCCAGGATTGTCTGAAAGGACTCTCCTAAAAATGTTAATAGCTGTTGCCTAGGCAAGCATCTTCCTTTCCTCCCTCTCTTCCTCCCTCCCTCCCTCCATCTCTCTCTCTTTCTTCCTTTCTTTCTTTTCTCTCTCTCTTTCTTTCTTTCAACTTTAGATATGTGCTCTTTATAATCAGTACACAAAATCTTTTTTAAAAAAAAACCAAGAAAACACTGTGCATGAGTGTGGGGGAAGGGTGGAGTTCATTTCAAACTCCCATGTACTCCTCTAACCCACTTTGAAGACTAGCAACACTTCCTTATGAGGAAAATAAAACCCATTAGGGCAGGCTAATAAATCAGTCTACCTCCGGGAAGAAAATGCCATCAGGACTTGTAAGAAACTAGAGTGAGAAATGGCCTTCTGACTTGATAAGTCGTCTGTTTCCTGGGTTTCCAGACCGCCCCTGTTTGAAGGCTATGAATACCCTCGTTTGAAAACAAAAATAAAGACACATCTTTTTAAAGAGGGGGAAATTAAACTCTGGGAGAAAGGAGATTAAATACCCATGTACAAGATTCCTAAGACTACGCCTTGATCTAGACTTGGTTTGCTCATTTGGAACAGGGATATTGTCCTGGGGGAGCAGCTGGCACTGAGATGGAGCCCAGGTGGGGCTGGTGGGGATCACCAGGCTGGAACGGGTTGGGATAATTGCCTGCGCCCTATTCCCTCATTTCACGGCTATAGGTGATTAGGAGCGATATCATGTATTCATTGAGCTGTATGCCAAGCAATTCACAATTAATTGTTACTACGACCAGGATTAAGAGCCTGAAGCCCTCAAGAGGTGCAGTGTCCTGCCAGAGTCAAGCACCCAGAGCCCCCTGGGCGCACTTTTCCTCACCTGCCTCAGCTGGGCGGGCTGATACCCGCCTTGGATACGCTCACCTGTTCGTTCCAGCGATGCAGCTGGCTGTAGCGCACCTTGCAGAACAGGAACCCGTCCAGGTACACCGAGTACAGCTGCAAACGGAGTCATCACGTTCGGATTAGCCGAGCGAGGTGAGCTCCCGCCCCCGCCTTGTCACCGGCCTCCTCCTCCCTGCCCAGTCGGACCCCGACCCCCGGCGCACCACGTAGCTGCCCCCCAGCGCGTCGGGCCGCTGCTGGGACACTGGGATGCAGAAATGCATTTTCATGGCTTGGGCGGAGGCCCCTGAACGGCGCTGGGAATCCGACCCGTGGCAGGCGGCGGCGGCGCGGTTAGCGAATCCGGACTCCGCGATCGGCTGGGGAGCCGGACCTGGGACGCCGGCGGCGCGGTCCTCTGCTCTGAGCCCCGCGGCGCTGGGTGCAGTGGGCTGGCCCCGCGGTCCGGGGTGGGGCCGGCCTCCCGCTGCCCCCTCGCCTCTAGTGTCCGCAGGTGGGGCCGGCCTCCTGGTCACCGCCCCGCTCCGGCTGCGCCACTCGGGTCCCGGGAAGGGAGGGAGGCGGAGCGCGGCCAAGGCCAAGGGCCCGGGCCCCGTGCACAGACCCCAAGCAGGCCTGCGCCACGGGCAGGGCTCCCAGGTGCGAGGCGGGGCCTCAGACGCAATTCAGGGTAGAGAGACTCTAGAAAGTGCCAGTGCCTCCCTCGGGCCGGGGGTTTCACCCTGGGGTCTATGGACTCCTGGGGGCTCTTTGGAGAAAGATGTGCGTGGATGGGTGAGGTGATGGAATTCTTCTGGGGAGAGGGTCCAGGGTTTCATCGGATATTCAGAAGGTTCCTCGAACCCACAAAAGTTAAAAGTCGTTGCTCCAGCTGCATAGATGTCCCGTACCCCTGCCTGATGAGTAATTCACTAACTACTCCCCACACTGCCCCAGCGTCTCGGCTCCGGCTCCTTGCTGGGGGTTAGGGGTGGAGGAGGCACAGCTGAGGAGAGGGCCCTCTTCCCCAAGTGCCCGCTGCAGGGCCGCGTTCTGCTCTCTGTGCCCTGCAGAACGTCCAGTCCGCCTTGCATTGGGTCTGGCACGAGAGACAGAGACAGATCACATTCAGACCGACCCTCAAACTCAAAATGTTAACATTTTCTGCAAGCCAGTGCCCTGACAGGGTTGAAAAAATTTTCTGTCCCATTACCTGCCAACACTGCCTGCAGTACACTGTGAATTAAGGTTTTCAAAATATGCATACATCTAGTAATTACCCTATGACTAGAACATTTCCATTAGGTTCAGTTTTATGTGTTAACATTTGTTAAATGTAACACTTAAGGTGTGCCGCAGTATTTATAACCCTGCTTTGGTATTTTTTAAATACTAAATATTTTTCCTTTAAAAAATTTTTTTTTCCTTAATATACGAGAAACTTTAACAATTGTTTTCCCCTTAATATACTAGAAACCTCATCAACTGGAAGTGGTTTGGGCAACTCTTGATCCCCAAGAAGCCCTGATTTCAAATAGGTGCCAGCACCCAGTTAGCTGCATTCATATAAACCCTTTGTTCTCTGGACTAACCATCCCAAGTTCTTTCAACAGTCTCTCATTTTTAGTTGCTGTGGAAAGTAATCCTATTTCTGTTATTTTAGTTCAACCAAGATATCGTTCCTCCCGCCTTACGGTGTCCATCAGGGTGGAAGGAGGCTGGAGGGAAGCAGCAGTCACATGTGTGTCCGTCATAGGCAGGCACTGGGCTCTCTGTGCTTCCTGCCCTTTAATCCTCCTGTAACTCTTTCAGGTAAACAGTAAGAACAACATCCTACCAATGACAGGCCCAGAGAGTGGAGTAACTTTTCCAAGGTCACAGATCACTTTTTCATAGGTCTGAATAGTTTATTCTAGGATTTCATCAGAATCATGGAAAGTCCTTAAAGATGCAGGTCACCACTGGGTGAGAGCTGAGGGCCTGACATGGGAATCTGAGACGAGGGAAGAACAGCACCGCTGAGGCCCCATTCATTCTCACAGGCTTGCTGGTGCCAGGCTCTGATGTACATGATGCCATTTAATTTCCCCAGTAACTTTGAGCTAGGAACCTTCGACTGTTCTGGTTTTTCAGAAAAGGGAATCGAGACTTAGGGCCTTAGAGTTAGGGAGACTGTATAAGGCAGCGGCTAAGAGAATGGCAGCAGGAAAT